AACAGATACTTCTACCTAGAAGTGTGAACCAGAGCTGAAAGCAGACAGTAGCCTTCGGTGTCTGGCTTGGGCTCCTGGACAGCACGGCTCCCAGAATTGGGAGTGCTGACTGGGACTGGGCTCTGCTGTGTTCCAATTGAAACTGCCCAGTAGAGGTGGGGCTGTGGCTTCTTTGTTCAGGATCCCAAATTCCAGCGCCTTGCAGAGATAAGCCAGTGGCGCGGGGCAGGTGGGAGTGGCAGTGTCCAGCCCCAGGGTGGACAGCATGCTCGGTTCTTCTTTACAAAGACTCGCTTCACTTTCTGCCCACTGGCTTTCAGGCTCCCACTGGCTTAATCAACCAATTGTTCAATTGATCCATAATGCAAGGCCCCCAAAGTGAAGGTCAATACCCAGTCTTCTTCTTACTTGATTTAATAGCAACAATTGACACAAGCACTTTCTCTAACCCAAAGCACTTCCCAAGATACCACAGGGCCCTGGTTCTCTTCCTGCTTCACACGCTGCCCCCACACAGTCCCAGGGTCTCCAGGACTCAGCCCAGGGACCTTTCTTCTCCTCCATCTTTCCCTGTCCCCACCATGGCCATTTCATCCAAGTTCACAGCTTCAAAATACATCTGGAGACTGTCAGCCCCCAAATACAGTCCATCCTCATGACACATGGGTTCCATACTTGTAAATTTGCCTACTTGCTAAAATTTGTAGCCCCCAAATCAATACTTGCCATGCCTTTGAGGTCATGTGTGGACATGAGCAGAGAGGCTCAGGCTGAGTTTCCAAGGTGCATGTCCCCAGCCGAGGTCGAACAAGGGGACACCCTGCCCTCCTGTTTCGACTCTCATGCTGTAAACAAGTATCATTTTTATGGTCCAGTCAGTGTCATGTTTTTCATTTCCATACATTTTGTAGATTCATGGGTTAAAATGGTCCCCAAGTGCAGTGATGAGTGCCGTTTAGTGTTCCCAGCACAAGAAAGCAGAGACATGTTTATAGAGAAAACATGGGCTAGATAAGCTTCATTTAGGCATAAGTTATGGGGCTGTAGACAGTGAGTTCAACGTTCATGAATCAAAACTATATATTAAATAAGGTGTCACTGAGCAGAAATACAGGATAAAACAAGGTCATGCATCGATCAGTAGACGAAAATGCGGGGACCAGAGGCTCACGAGGAAACTGACCCTGATCTCCCCTGGAAACAATGGGTCAGTATTTACTAGTTCAGGGTCGAGTTGATATCACAGAATGTCACTACTGTGCATAATGAGAATGGACTGTATCTTATTGCAGACCAGATCTCTCTCCAGAACTCCAGACTCATGTTCCAACTTGCCTTCTCAACCTTGCAAACTTTAACAAATCAGAATCTGAGCCCCTGGTAATATTTCTGCAACCTGCTCTTTCCACAGACTCTTACTTCTCAAGTAAGGGAAACTGTATTCTTCCTGGGGCTCAGGCAAACAACAACAACAACAACAACAACAACAACAACAACAACAAAAAACCCTTAGAATTATCACTGATTTCTGTCTCTCAAACCCTACTTTTAGTTTTCCTGAAACTCTCCAACATCTCACCATGTCCACTCTGCCCAACCTAGCCTAGGCCCACTTATTTTCTCACATAATTCCAGAGCCTTCTAACTGGTCTCCCTTCTTCCACCCTGGCCCTGCACCCTGGCATCTCGCCTAATCCTCACCTGTTTCCTAAAAGGATCCTGGTAGAAGTCAGATCATGCTATGCCTTGCCTCAGAACCCTCCCATGGCTCCCCACCACCCTAAGGAAAAACCACAGTCCTGATAATGACTTCTAAGTCCTGGTCTGCACATGCTCTGCCTGTTCCTTCTCTGACTTTACCTTCTACTGTTCTCCTTTTTGTTCACCCACCCCTGTTGCTCCCCTACATACCCCTGCCTCAGGGCCTTTGCACCATCCTTGGAATGCTCTTCCTCCAAATAACAATTGGCCAGCATCTTCACTTCACTTCTGTCAAGTCTTGACCTCACTGCCACCCTCTTTGTGAGGGCTGCCTTGATTATTTTATTTAAAATTGTAACCCCCTACACACACACACACCCTATTCTCTTTCCTGCTTTATTTTTCTCCACAGCACTTATCAATCTAAGATATTAAGAGACTTAGCTGTTTGCATACAGTCTGTTTCCCTCTCACTCAAATATAAGCACCTTGATTGAGGGCAAAGACTTTTATCTGTTTTTTTCTTTTCCTTTCTACTGATGTAGCCCCAGTACCTAGAACAGCAGGTAGGCACTAAATAAATAATCCTTAAGTAATGAATAATGTAGCACTTACCAGACATTATTCAATTTGTCTGTTTGCCCTCTGTCTCTCACAATACTGTGAGCATTTTGAAGTCAGAAACTCCATTCCTTCATATTCATATTCCCAACACTGAACCACTGAGGCCAGCGCATAACAGGAATTTAATAAAAGCATGCTAAATGACTAGAAGAAGAGGCGAGAGAGAAAAATGCTATTTTTCATGAACTTTGGGGCTTTTTAAAATCAATGTAACAAGCATCTGTGCAGAGATGGATAAGATAATCCCTACTGTGGAAAAACCCACAGTGCGCTGGGAAAGAGATACCAATACATATGGACACTGCTGCAATGTAGTCAGGGCCATGTGAAAAAATGGTCAGGAAAAGAACTGGGATGACAAAAGACAGAGTGGGTATTGAGAAAGCAGCCAAAAGGGGCAACATGTAAAGTGGGCTTTGACGGCTGAATAGGAGTTTGGCATGAGCCTGGGTGGGAATTGGGGGTGAGGAGGAAATAGCCCAAACTCTGCTGCTCACAGCCCAAGGCATATAAATGTCTACAAGTTATAAGCTCCCCAATGAAGCCCCTTCCTTGCTCTAAGAGGAAGGCATCTCATCTGCATCCCCAGGCATCTCAGTGCTCAACAAACATGAATGATTGGAACTATTACATTCCCACAGGGCTCCTCTTCCTCTTCACTCAAAGAAAATTCCATATCTGACAATGGGATTACTTGCTACCACTTAGGGGAATAACTTCAAGGGCCACATCTACACATTGTCCCCAGTTCCCAGACTCATCAGCATCTCACATCTAAACAGAACCAGACCACTCAGATGACAGCTGCTTAGAAACCCAGAGAAAGTGCCATTCCTAGGTTCTGCCAAGGCACAAAGAAGCAAAAGCCCATTTGGAAAGTGCTGGCGCTTTCTGACATCAGAGCCAAATAGGAGAACAGTGTGATGCACATGGAAATATGGACACTTGTGTCAGAACGTCTGACCTGCAGCCTGAGGGTCAGCTTCCTGCAGGCGGAAGCTGGCGAGCATGGTGCCCTCAGCAGCTCCTCAGCCCGTGATGCCAAGTGCCCCACCATCCCACCGAGTGGAGGTCCCGACGGGTCCCACTGCACCACTTCAGCAGCCCAGAACCGAGAAGGCCCAGGGCGCCATGACTCTCACCCAGGCCTGGGCTGTGCTGGCTTCTCTGTGAGCAGAACAACCTCCCCACTCTGTCCAGCACGCACACCAACCGGGGACACGAGCCCCGCCTGTCAGCACCTTTATCTCCTCCTGTGTCTGGTGCTTCCCTTCATGTTATTCTCCGTTCCCCTCAGCCCTGCTCTTCTCTCTTGTCCTTCGGGCCCTTTAAAGACGAGGCGGCTGTGACCTAACACCCATGTCATTCCAGCACCTGAAGGGACGAGAAGGGCCCCGGAGGTCTTTTGGAGTTTCCCACAGTGCCCGGGGCCCCAGGCTCGTGAGGCCTGAGGCCTGCTTGCCTCCACCTGGCCTGGGGAGGTCTTGTCGTCATACCTAAAACCAGACAGGAATGATGATGGTCATAGAACGTTCCCTCCTCTCTTTCAGGGTGGGCTTCCTGTTATTAGGAAAAGCCATCACAGTGTGTACCATGAGATTTCAGCCTTGGTCTCCATTTTCCAAACCCCATTTCTGCCTGCTCTCAGATGTTCCCAGCTTGTACCCTCTCCCCAGGCTTTTCCCACTCCGGGTTTTGGCGCCAAGCAGACGCCTCTCCCCAGGACACTCTGTCCCCTCACAGGCCCAAGGGTGGTTACTTGTCCACGTGTAGGCGAATACCCAAGTCTCATTCCTGTGCCCTTAGCCATCCTAATCCCCCCAGCACCTTGCCGCTCTATTGCAAGCTTCCATTTTATTTTCGGCCTAAAACAATCCCATTCTTCGTGTCTTTGTCGGTTATCTGTCTCTCCCAACTACGAGGTAAATCCCATGAGGGTAGGAGCCCCGTGTGTCTCATGCACTGCCTTCACCCCAGTGCTTAGGACAGCAACTGGCACATAGTAGGCACCTCAGTATACATTGGCTGCACAAGTGAATACATTTGTGTATATCAAAGTCTCAAAAACTTCACCAAGAGCGCCCATGGCCTTTCTCCAGGTCCCCCAAAGAGAGAAGATGCTTCTCGGCGTGCCTTTTCTGCATTCTGAATGTTTTGTACAAAGAATGTGGGGGTCTGATTTTAGGAAGGACCTTAATTCTTGGCTTTTCCAGTAGCGACTGGGACTGGCGGGTGACTCCTAGAGTGACTTTGTCAAGGCACGAAGCAGATTCTTCCTATCGATGTCCTCTTTCTGGCTGCTGCTATTGCAACATTTCACTTGTTTTATTTGTGTCTGTACCTCATCATTATCTCATTGCCTCACTGGAAGCCACTTGAAAACACGGACATGTATGTGCTATTTCTTGCATCAAAACCCTCGGAATTCATCCAAATCAACTCAGGCCCACACCCAATTCAGACAAGATTTCTCCCCAACTATAAAAAGGTTTCAGGGGAAACTGCTTCTCTTCTAACTCGTTCCAATGTCTCTCAACATTTTTATTCTCCCCTCAAGGGGAATGAAGGCAGCTGTGATCCTGCTCCAGGCTCCAGCTCTGAAGACAGACACAGGGGACCTGGATGGACGGACGGACGGACACACACACACACATACACACACACACGCTGCTTACCGACATAGCCCGGGGTCCCACAGGCTGTGGACATCACATCTCCTTTGCCCTCCATTTTTGACAATCCGAAGTCACTGATCATTATTTTGGATTCCTCATCTTGACTGTAGTACAACAGATTTTCAGGCTGAAAAAAAAAAGAACAAAATGGGTGAAGTGTGTTTAAAGCTGACTTTACTGTGGGAGACTTGCCAAGCCACAAAATTTTTTTTTTTTAACTTAAATTCAATTAGCCAACATATATAGTACACTACTAGTTTCAGATGTTGTGTTCAATAATTCATCAGTTGCATGTAACACCCAGTGCTCGTCATATCACGTGCCCTCCTTAATGGCCATCACCCAGGTACCCCTTCCCCCCACCTCCCTTCCAGCAACCCCAGTTTGTTCCCCATAGTTACAAGTATCTCATGCTTTGTCTCCCTCTCTGATGACTCCCCACTCAGTTTTCCACTAAGATCCCCTGTACTATTTCTTATGTTCCACATATGAGTCAAACCGTATGATAATTGTCTCTCTCCAATTGACTTATTTCACTTATTGGCGTAACACCCTCTAGTTCCATCACACTGATGCAGATTTTAAGCATTCATCATTTCTGATCAAGCCACACAACCTAATCACAGTTTAAGAACATGCTTGACCTTCGTATTCGTAAATGCATAAAGAAAAGCAGTGTTTAGTAAGAGCGATGTACAGAACCCACACAGTATTGCACACTTAGAGGTATTCAAGAAAGGTGAATCTTTTTCCTTTATCAGGACTTTGTCTATTTCAAACAAACAAACAAACAAACAAGCAAACAAAAAGTGAACCTTACACTGGGACAGCCTTGAAAACCTCTCAGACTTGACAGCTTATTTCTTGGGTTGAGACAGAGGGAATCCCCAGAAACAAAATGACTTCTGCAGGGGCTCCCCTGTTCTCTTTTTCTGACCCTTGTTAGCAACCTCTCTCTAGTCCAAGGGCCTCTCTCCCTGCCTTTGTTAACACCCCATGTCCTGCTGTTCCTGCTGCTGCATCCTGCTTTCCATTTCCTGAGCCTGCTGACCCCCACTCACTCCGCTTCCTGGGAGATAGAGGGACATCATCACAGAAGATGCAGCACTTCATAGTCAAGTGCCCTTAAGTACCCTGAGCTTCTGTTTGCCTTTCTGGAAAACATGGGTTGTGGTGGTCTTTGTTTGCTTCCCTGAACTCTACATGACAGAGCTCAGGTGGTAGTAACGCTCGACACATGGCAGAGGTGCGATTATGGTTTCCATCCCCACTACCGTTCTGCACGTCAGGGGCCATCTCCATGGCGGCTCCATAGGTAGGGGAGAGGGGAGACAACGCAGGGGGGTGCAGAGGGGAGACAATGATACAGATAAAGCTTCACTGCACAGTGTTTGTGAAAAACTGTGGTATCATTCTTAGCCAGAAAACAAAAAATAGAGAGAAAGAGAAGAGCTCAGGGAGACTGAGGGAGATGTCCTGCCTGGGAAGAGCTTGAACACAGAAATGCTGCCTCAATTAATGGTATTGTCTCTGAGGGAGATAATGTTGAAGACTGACACCTCTCCTGTTCCCCAACTAGGAAAATTCCAAAGATCGACCCAGTGAATAAGCAAATCACTTCTCTCCTTTATGTTAAACCTGAAGGGAAACACAACAGGAAGAATTGGAGCTGGGGAAGCCACTTCCCCTCCCTGTTTCCGGTCTGGCTCTTCTCCCATCCCCAAGAGTGAAGAAAGACCATCTCTTGTCAGTGGTTTGTGGTGAATCTTTGGTTCCTGAGTATTAAGTTTGAGGAGCTATTCTCTCCTAGAGTGACTAATCCTCTTTTCTTGGCCTGCCTGTTGAGCAGAATCGCCTGCGACAGCTCCAAACATCTCCATGTCTTCTTCAATGGATTTGAGATGGGCCCGGGCCTCTGGAGGTTAGAATCCATGGGGGGATTCTGATACACAACCACGGCTCTGGGGAAATTCTGAGAACTGCTCAAGACCCCCTCCTTGACCAAACCGTAATCGGCCTCCTCTGAGCCCTCTTCTTGACAAGGCCTTGACCTTGGCCTTCTGTGTCCTTCCGGTTTTGCCGGACCTGCAAAGTCCAGTCTTAGCAAGAATCCTGCTAAGTCAGCATAGAGAGAATTCCCTCACCCTTGATATCTGGCCAAGTTCTTTACCTCCTACCTTGAATGTTATTTAAAAAATGTCTTTAGACACTTGGTAAAGACAGTAAGGTAAAACTATTCAGGAGGACCACTGCGATGGGGTTCTACAGTTGGAGACAAAGAGTGGACTCAAGTCCTAATACAACAAGGAAAAGTGGACATTTATACCCAGGAGCAGGGGGATGGTCAGTGGATAGAAAATCACTAAGAGGGGATAACATGGGTGGGGGATCCCTCCCAAAGGCAGGCTGGGGTGGGCAGATAGGGAGGGTGGAGGATGAGGAATCTGATCAGGTGCAAGGGTGGGGGATGTTCACCAAAGTGACTCAGTGGGATTCTTGCTCAGCCTGGACTACATGGCAGAGCCGATGGACTAATAACAGAGCCAAGGCTGGAGCCTGGTCAGAAAGAAGACTCAGAAGGGGCTGAACTCAAGTTTGGTCAAGGAAGAGAGTCTGCCAATGTCTAATAGGTTCTTGGCCAGCCTTTAGCAAGAGTTCCCTCATCCTCAGTACCCCCTCTTAGCAACTTCCCATCCACGACCCTCATCCTGCTCAAAGGCTCTAAATCCCCACATGCCCTTGATGAACTTGGAGTTGAACCCAATTCTCTCCCCTACTGTGATATTCTTACAGTAGCCTCAAGTGAAGTCTTCTTTAGTTTAACAAGGGTCAGAATAATTTTTTTAACAGAACCCAAAAGAAAAAAATACTATCCTTCATCCAAAAATCACAACCCAAGAAGGAATGGCACTAACATTCACAGTGACATTAATTCTGTGGATGAAGCATGGGATTAGGAGAAAATCAAATGTATACTTGAGGATGCTTTCAAGGAGTTTGGAGGGAGAATAAAAAAGACCGATCAACAGAAAGGATGAACACCCAACTTTTGTATCAACATGAACGGGACTGGAAGAGATTATGCTGAGTGAAATAAGTCAAGCAGAGAGAGTCAATTATCATATGGTTTCACTTATTTGAGGAGCATAACAAATAACATGGAGGACATGGGGAGATAGAGAGGAGAAGGGAGTTGAGGGAAATTGGAAGGGGAGGTGAACCATGAGAGACTACGGACTCTGAAAAACAATCTGAGGGTTTTGAAGGTGCGGGAGGTGGGAGGTTGGGGGAGCCAGGTGGTGGGCATTATGGAGGGCACGGATTGCATGGAGCACTGGGTGTGGTGCATAGACAATGAATTCTGTTAGGATGAAAATAAATTTTTTTTAAAAAGGCCTATCAATAATCAAAATACGAGTAATGCTTAAAAAATGGGGTGAAAAAATCTCATCAAAAGTTGCACGTGGTTCATGATGAACAGTATGGAGCTGATCATGGGGCAGCGAGGACTTTTTTTAAGTTTCTGATTTTTAATCTTCCTGTCCCAGTACTTCTGCAGCTGAACGGCTAAGCCATGAGTGGGAAGCCAGGGAACTCAGGCTCTTCAACAGGGCTGCATCTAGGCAAGAGATTGCCATGGAGCCAAATATCCCTCCTTACCCATTCTTCCTCTAGGGGATATATCTGGGTCAATCATGGGTTCAAGCAACTGGTCATTCACAGCCTAGATCACTACTTGTCCACAAGCATCTCCTGACTTGGTAAAGATGGTGGGGCTTTTTCTTGAGGGGAGAGGGGAATAGGAAAGTGGAAGAGAAGACAGGTTCAAGGGTAATCCTAATGGAGGCCCCCAGTTGGCTATACAGGGGCTTGATCAGGCAGGAGGCCAGTCAGGTGGGGAGCCAAGTGGGCTTAGCTGTCTAAAGGACCACTAGGTCCTAAGGATTAACCAATTGTGCTCACAGCCCATTTCAGTTGTCAAGGAGCCTGCAAAAGTCAAAGGCTGTAAGGACTCCATCAACATTCCCAAATACCCTTGTCCAGCAGTTCTCCTAGAATATTCCCAGGGTAACATCAGGCTCATTTGTAAACCCCTTAGAAATGCAAGTTCCCAGACCCCCCTGCAGACCCACAGAATCAGAGCCTCTGGGGTGGGGCCAGACAATCCTAATGTATGCTAACATCTGGGAGCCACTACCCTAGCTGCTGGGAAATACCACGGAGAAGAGGGGCAAACTTGACAGTGAGACCTTATGAAAAGAAGAGTTATACCATTTATTCACATCCAGTACTAGATAATGGGCAGACGTTGAAATTCTGTTTTAAACAAAGTTTCTGGTTTGTTCTTTAAATTGGTTTAGATTTCACAAAGTCATGCTGAGCGTGGCTTCAGTGCAATATCATCCCTTTTTTTATGCAGTGAGTGGCACATATCTGGGCTGGGGTGGAGTTTCTATCTTGACTGGCCCAGTGGGCTCTGGGGTTAGGACCCGTGGCCGCATAGAATGAAGCCTCACAATAGCCTTCCTTGCTTTTTGCTGTTCCTCTAATCAATATGTTCGTTATCTACCCTCGATGGCATATGTTTGGTGTCTACCCTTCAGGATCTATGCTGCCGGGGGAGGGATGCAATGCCAAGTTGCCCAACGACGGCCCCAAACCTCCAGTGCTATTGGGTGAAGGGTCACTATGCCAACCCTTCACCAAGAAAACATAAAACGGTACCCTATAGGACACAGGGGAAGGCTGTGATTATAGGTTGCTCAACCTGTCTTTATGGATAACCTTCCATTTCTCTTCTTCTGTCATGCCCTCTAGGTATTCACTCCCATTCTTTTACTCAGGGTGCTGTGCTGAAATGGGGTCCAAAATGGCGGGAGACTGTCGAGAACTGCACTGGGAGAAGGATTTTAATGGCCCATATGTCCTGAACAAAATTACCTTTCAGGTAGGCTTGAAGCAAGATACAACCCACCTCCCTGGGGTCCTTTGGCTACACGGTGGTTACAAAATCTCCCAAATGATGGTTGGTTTCATTGATCTTCATCATCTTTTTTGGGGACCCAAAGGCCCTGACAACTAATGGTACACAAATGTTTACCACTCAGCCAAGCATATCGCCATCAAGGTAACCTCATCCATTTTCTGGAGCCAGTCCTCTTAGACAGGTACACTGTGGGTGGGAGAGTGGCCAGAGGATGTTGCTAAGTGACAGCCTTACCTTGAGGTCCCTGTGGACAATGCCCATTCTATGGAGATAGTAGACAGCATCCAACACCTGGCGGATCAGAGTGCTGGCGTCCTTCTCTGTGTAAAATCCTTTCTCCACTATCCGATCAAACAGCTCTCCACCAGATACACTGTTTAAAAAAAAAAAACAAAAAAAAAAAACAGAAAAGAAAAACAACAAATAGGAAATTTGAGGAGAACTGTGAAATTGTTCAGGGAAAGCCATCAATAAGAGACTTCAATATGACAAAAGAACCAAATTTTATTTCCAAAATAAACTCATTTTCAGATTTAAGTTTTGTCCCATCTGTTTCCCAGAAGCTATCCCAGAAAAGTGTTTCTGTGTCATGATGGTATGAGTATCTGGAATGAAATAAAGGGAATACAAATAAACCAGGACTCAAGGACTAGCCAGGCTTGAGAAGTCTCTTCTGGTCATTTCTTCCATCCTGCTACAACAACTTAAGTCAGAACAACTTTCCAGAATACTGGCATCATCAGTTACTGGGAGATGATGGATGGGATGCCTCCTTCACATAAGAAAGTATCCTTAAAAGTCAGGAGGGTAGGGGTGCCTGTGTGGCTCAGTGGGTTAAAACCTCTGCCTTTGGCTCAGGTCATGATCCCAGGACTCTGGGATTAAGCCCCACATCGGGCTCTCTGCTCAGCAGGGAACCTGTTTCCCCCTCTCTCTCTGCCTGCCTCTCTGCCTACTTGTGATCTCTGTCTGTCAAATAAATAAATAAAATCTTAAAAAAAAAAAGTCTGGAGGGTAGGGAGAATGGGGGGCAGTATTGTGGGCAAAGCCATGCATAGTTAACAGGATGTTTGGGTTCTTGACCAAGTTCTGCTCCTAACAGGGTCAAGGCATGGGAATTCTTTGGATCTTTGGACCTCAGTCTTTTTATCCATAAAATAAGGGGTTTATCTAGGCGATCATATCCAGAAGGTAGAGGCATGCCCTCAGAGGTATCAGAACCTGAAAGCCAATAGTGATTTACAAAAAAAGAAAGAAGAATGATACCCCACTACCTTGTTTAACACTGATTTTTGGTGACAATATTTACTTTTAAATTGTTTTGAATTTCATGCTGCACTAAATGTTTTCTTTGTGTTTATTGTGTTTGTTATTGTATTTATGGCCTAGATTGGCAAAGGTCAAAAAACCCTTGTGGACAACCCTTATAGCCCCTTTCAGCTCCACTATTTGCTGTGCTTTGAGTTAAACAAAGTAACAAAGTAATGAAGAACTGCACACTTTTTATGAGAACAATTCAAAACCCTAGCCTTCAAATTTGTAGAATATATACTTCTTGAAGAAAAACAGTGGTTCTTTCAAATAATTAAGCCATCTTGGAAACTTGATTCGGGGACAGATTAACACTATTCTCTTGTGTAAAAGATGATTTATTTGGAATACTAAAATCATATAAGAGTTTCCAAACCACTTTACAGCTTTAATAGATATAGTAAAAGATAGATATAGTTACATGCCCTAGCAGTAACACACATGCGTGTGCACACATACAAACACACACACAGAGCTCAGATTCATTGTCTGCAAGTCATGGCAATTAACATGCAATATCTCATCCACCAAAACCTTCCTTTTAAAAAACCAATAAAGAAAACCAATTGTGGCTCTAAAAGGCCTAGGTGTTCAGGTGTCTCCCATTACTGAGAGTCATTCTAAGCGATGTTGTGCTTGGATACTGTCTTGTTTCCAAAGCAAACTGAGCAATCAAGATAAGAAAAGGAAAGATGCTGGGGTTAAATAAGCAATTCAGACAGTGGAAAGAAATGGAAACATCAGGGAGAACTATCTTTTGATGATCAGGTTGTCTAAATGGTCCATCCCTAAGTAAATCAAAATCCTAAGTCACTCAGTTGGTCATCTCTTCAAGCATTCATTGAAGATTCACTGGGCGCCCATTAGGGCCCAGCTACCGTGCCCAGCTGGTACTAGTCCTGGAGGCATTAGCTCTGAAGGAGCAAAGGTCTGCTTTGATTGTGCTCCTCCTTCTCCTCTACCACCCACCCACGTTCTAATCACGGCACCCCTTCTAAGGGCTCCTGAGCTTTCTTACCACTGGTCTGCCTGCCACTCCCATCCTCTGCTCTGTGGGCTACTACTGGAAGAGCCCAGGCAGGAATGCTCACCCACCCCTCCCACCACCCCCATCTCCCACCCTGAGTACTCCACCACCCACCTTTGCCAGATTCTCTCCCTCCTTCAAAACTGATCTCTCCTGCTTCCCCTTCTCTCAGAGTCCTCCCTTCTCCTATGTGATGCATCAAGCATGAATAGATGTACTGAGCCCGATATTTGCCCTCTGTTAGGACAGCAATGCAGTAAGAACTGAAGCAGCAGGTCAAAGTGTAATTGTAACCGTAGCGTGTCCTCCCATGGTCTCCGTGCTCTGCACATTTGATATTTCACTTCTGAAATTTCAAATTGCACCGGGGCTTTCTTCTTCTGAACAGTGCTCAGAAAGTATTTGGTTTCCTTAGAAACCAAAGCCCAGGGGAGAAGTCAAAAAAACTTGCCAATAAAAAGAGTGTAACGATACTCACAAAAATGCTTTAAAATTGGCAAATCACTGTATACTTTTCAAAAATCTCCTTAAGCATACATTTCAAATGGCTACTGTTATGTAAAATACTGTTTATGCCCCTCCCATATTGACGCTGTAGCCCTAACTCCCAGTGTGATGGCATTTGGAGATGGGGCCATTGATAGGAATTTAGGTTGAGGTGAGGTCAGGGTCCACATGATGGAATTCGTGTCTTTATGACACAGAGCCCAGTCCAGCTGTCTCCTCTCCTCTCCCTTCCTCTCTCTCCTTTGCTGCCATGTGAGGACACAGCAAGGAGAAGGCCAACCGTAAGTCGGGAAGAGTCCTTAAAAGGAACCAAATCAGCTGGCACCTTGATTTTGGATATGCCAGATTCCAGAACTGTGAGAAATAAATGTCTGTCATTTAAGAACTGTGAGAAATAAATGTCTGTCATTTAAGCTGAAATTTTGATATGGCAGCCTGAGCTAAGATACCCACTTACTTGAAAACCATTTGTGAACAACCAGAATCCCAGAATCACTGATGGGGGAAATAACTTTAGAATCCTGGTGAGGGGTGTGTCTTGTTTTTAGGCCTGCAGATCATGAGTAGGTTGGGTGGCTGGCTGCTTTCTTGCTTTCTTCAATCAATATCCTCCTACAGCACATGGACCCCATGCATGGTTTACACTCCACGTTAGAAATGGAGCTCCCAGTGAGAACATGCCAAACATCAGAATGGAGTTAGGAGGGTTGCGGGGGGGGAGGTCAGGTGACTGGGGAAGAGGAGAAGAACCATCATGACAGATCAATAAATAAAATTAATTAGTGGTGGCTGTGGGAGAGAGGTGCACTGGGGGGGGGGTGTAGATGTAGAAAGAAACGGCTATTGGGGTTCCTGGGTGGCTCAATGGAATAAGCATCTTGTTCTTAGTTTCAGCTCAGGTGGTGATCTCATGGCCATGGCTCAGGGCGGAGTCTGCTTTAAATTCCCTCGCGCTCTGCCTCTCTCCTCCTCTCTCAAATAAATAAATTAAATCTTATTTAAAAAAAGAAAGGAAGAAACTGGTTATTAAAGATTAAGGGATAGGACAGACATCATTCAAAAATTCTCTATTCTTCTTAATTTAAACTTTGCCATTACTTTAGAACAACCTGTCTTTGCCCTGAATTGGGTTTGCTCAGTCTCTGATCTTCCTTGTCCATCATATCTCACTGCCATCTCCCTGCATGTGAATTTCAAATATGCACTTATGAAATCTCAACAAAATTTCAATTTACTTGTAAAATTTTAAGTAGTGCAAATCTCTTCAAATTCAAAAATCATTTTCAAGAAGCACAATTTCAGTGTTGCTGGATCAAGTACATGGTCAGTTCTGATACCCATGGCATACCGCAACATAACCAAGTCGGTTATGTTGCATACCGCAACATAACCAACCAAAAGGGCCTATCTTCCCAGTTCTTTCTTCCCAGTTCTGCCCTGTCACTTTTAGTACTGGGGAGACCAAGTCATTCTTTTGGTGCACTTGCACTTCTCCATGTGGTTTCCATAGATGTTATCCCCTTGTTTTAAAATTCACTGCTAATTATAATTTAAAATGTTTTTTTTAATCTTATAACAATATCCACATATTCATTAAAATACAGTACTTGCGCTACTGCTGACAAATGGGCTCCAAAAACTTGCTTCTCTAGAAGTTAGGTATAATAAAATATGAAGAAGCCTGCAGGAAACCAGAACATGTACCCCCAGAATATGCCTCCTTGACATAAAATTTATTTTGAGCTGCAAGCAATTAAGAAACAGTAAATACAGGGGGAAAAAATTCCCCCACTTTTGTCTAAAGGCAAGAAAAAAAAAAACAAACGTTTATTTTACTGGAGACAGACTCTATCAGCCCAGGCTGCACCAGGAAATGTGCAGACAAACCTCATTCAGCTAACCTTTTAACTCTCTGGATTCCCTGCTCAAATGCCTCTGCCCTGTCAATTCTTCACAAATTTATTGTTTAAAGGTATAAAATTTCCAGCTCTGATCACTGCCCCCTGGTCTTCGTTCTCTGGGGAAGGAACCCAAGTAACCTCCAAGCTTCATTAACATGTGCATGTTTTCCTTCTGCTACTCTGTCTTTGTTGGTTTCATCTTCAGAGCTAGCCAGGGACCCACTGAGGGTCAAGGAAAACTTTCTCTCCCTTAAAAGCCAAACAGTACAGGGGTGCACTGTTAATTTTAGGGAGCAGTCTGAGAAACACTAGCAGTAACGCCGAGATAATAAAAAAGCAGTGTATGTCTCGAAATTGACGAAGACCGTTGTCACCCAACTAGACAGTGACCATGGGAAAGAGCAGGGGACATGGCTACGGAGCAAGGTGGCCTTTATGTGCCCCACAGCAATGCTGGTTCTAAATGGGTTTTTCCAGAACGATCTCCCCCATTCACATGTAGTCCTAGGAGGAAGGTCCTCTTGAAATATGCAGTGTGTGACTGAGAGAAGCTGAAAGTGAACCATTTTTCAGCTGTGAGACCCCAGCCCCAGGGGACAGAGGGGTGTATTTTTTCACCCAGCCTGG